CAGAGTCCTAGCTTGTAGATGAGTGTAAACTGCAGAGTCCTAGCTCACAGATGAGTGTAAACTGCAGAGTCCTAGCTTGTAGATGAGTGTAAACTGCAGAGTACTGGCCTGTAGATGAGTGTAAACTGCAGAGTACTGGCCTCATGATGTTGCTCGTCTGTGCTGGCTCATTCTTTTGAAGAGTGGCTATGTTTCCTCAATGTACAACTGGTCACAGTCCTCCTGGCACTTAGCAGCATACATAACATTACTTTACTTGTGCCGGGGGACTGGATCTGTCTTGTTTGATCTGTTTAACAGTGCACTGCTGTGTGAGACCTGAATTCATCAAGGCCTCCCTTGTTTTAAAAGTTGCTCAAAAGACAAATTTCCGAGGGGTCCCTGGTTATCTCTCGTTCCTCGAGATAACAATGCATGCAGTTAGCATTATTCAGGTTCAACTTGGGATATCTCACACACTTGTGCTCATATTTTTCTGACACAGCAGGTGGGACTCACACCTCACGTTTTCTCGTGCTGCACGTTCATCCTCCACAACTCAATCTCGTCAGATGCACGTGTTGCAGGTCAGTCTCTGCAAACACTGAGGTCACTTGTTCAAGGTTTGTTGCTATGCTTGAAAATTATCCTTTTTTTGTTGTTGTTGTTGTTTTTGTTGTTGTTGTCGTTGTTGAATGCAGTCAAGTGGATGCATTGTGTTCATTTTGGGCAACATCAGTGTCACCAGATGTGCAAACTAATCTAAATCTTGTTTGATTGGTGTTGCTCATTTTTCAGTTTTCCAGCAGCTGCACCTTGTTACAGATACAAACCCTGACAAATTAAATCCTCCTCCAGCACCTGATAAAAACATATCACATTATATTTATTAGTTGCAAACTGCTGAATTGTTCAGCAGGATTTCTAATCTAGAGGCAACAAAGCCTTGATAATCTAAAGGTCATTCTCAAGACCTGACATTTAACCTTGCAGGAGGTTCTGATGACTGTTTCACTTGTTTTGTTTGTTCATGCATCACATATCATGAGGCAGAGGAGCCTGCATGATCTTCAGTGGTCTGTGGGGCTTATTTTATTTTGTATTTTATTGTATTAAAACCCCAAAAAACATGTACAGTAGGTTGCCTTCAGGCCCAGGCCTCCCTTGAAAAAGAGATCTGAGATCTCAACGGTACTTGCCTGGTTAAAGAACGGTAAGTAACCAAATAAATAAATAAGGGTTGTCAAATGATTAAAATTTTTAATCTATTAATACCAAGGTAGCTGTGAATTAATCACGATTAATCACAATTAATCTTAAACTTAATATAAAACTTTATTGCATATTGGTAAAATAAATTACTTGAGTTATTACTACTACATACTACTACTGTAGTACTACAGGAGGAATGAATGATGGATACTAAGGTCACAGTTGTCAGCAAAACATAATTAAATAAATAAAATAAGCCATAAGAAGACAAAAAGAAAAAAAAACTGTATATAATGTGTTACACATGGAATTTTTTAAAAATATTATTTATTTAACCTTTATTTATCCAGGTAAACTGTTTGAGAACCACTTCTCATTTACAAACATGACCTGGCATGCACTGAGTGCATTGCAACATACAAACCTACACATTCAGCCATAGTAAAGTGATTGTAAATTTTAATCGCGATTAAAAATTTTTAATTTATGCCCATGCAGCACTAAAATTAATCAGAGTTAACTGGATTAATTTCACAGCCCTAAAATAAATATTAATCTACGTATCTTTTCTTGTAATATTATATTTCTGCTGGAAATGAAACTGACAGAAAAGTATGAAATTTGAGTTGGACTTGACGATGTAAATTTTCATAAAACTGCACTTGTGTGAAATATTTGAGTTAAAGGATTTTTTAAGGCAGTAACAATCCCCTTTGATATTGGCCACAATCAAACCAGTCATTAGCTCATCAGTCTGATCAGATTAAACTGTTTCTGCAAAATAAAATCTTTCAAACAGCTGTCTACAGCAGGTAAGATATTCTTTGTTCTTTTCAACGGAACCACGCCTCAAAGGATCTGAGCTATCTACACTCCTTTAAACCTGCACCGCTCTTTCCTTTTAAATATAAAGATCCCCAAAAGCAAAAAAAAAAGGTTGTTTCATTTATTTCTGGAGCAATTATCTGTACTATCAATCACATAAAAAATAGAAATGTCAGTATTTCCACTAAACGTTTAGATTCTTTTTTTGCGTGTGTGTGTGTGTGTGTCCAGACTTCAGATAAAATCCTGTGTAATACAGATATCAGTGCTGAAACTCAGAGCACCACCCCGACACACACACACACACACACACACACACACACACACACACACACACACACACA